AACTCAATAAGTGTTGCAGTTGGCAAGAAGTTGTTATTGATAGTGCTCCGATTTTCTGCCTGTTTTACTGTCAATACTAATTCTCCACGACGTCGTTACTGCTTGTAACAATAGCATTCGTGGAATGTCGACCACACGATACGCGACTGTTTGCTTCGATCAGTGCTACAGAACGCTATGGAACGGTACAAAGCTTATCAGCGTTTGTGCGCGTGCGCGGCATATACTTTGAACTTGTAAATTACGATCAACTTCCGTTCTCGCAGGTGTTGTATCGCCGCAAAGCCGATAAACGATTCCGCTTTTCTTGTCCCGTAAAAAGTTATTAAAATCCCAACGTCACCGCGACACCACGTGCCCGTCGTATCTCCTTAGTACAAAGTAACAACAGCAAGAGTACAAAAGAGTGTTTCCATTACCTCAACAATCTCGATTTCTAATGAGATACAATAAATTATCCGACTATATGGAAGAGAAAGTTCTGAAAGATGATCTTCAAGAATAATCCATTATTTTTCATAAGAATTAAAATTAATTGAGGTTATGTTCCGACCCTCGAGCTGGTGCACGAGGAACAATCTCACGGTTTAAGAGACACGCGAATTGATTCATAAAAAGCATAAGAATGTTGACCAATACTATTTGTAGATATACATTCTTAAATAGTTGATATCTTCAGGTCTCATACAAGAAATGTTTATAAAATAGTGTAATCCGTAAGTAGATGGCGGCGCCAAATTGATATTATCCACTGAACTGCAAAACAAAGCAATGTTGTTACATTTTCACCCGTATGGTACTTTCAATTTGTTCATAACTATACGTCACATTAATATCCTTGCTCCTAGGTGTTTGCATTCTCATTATACATTGGTGGCCCTCAAAATTACACCAAAGATTAGAAGTACGAAATTAATGATGTTGTTTATAGATTTAATTACTACACAGGACACGATTAAAATATTACTTCCCCTTTAAAAATACCTCCAATTTTCATCATTTCTTGCTCAAACGTATTATATCATTGTTAAAAAATGTTACGCACGTCTCCGCACTATTTCTACGCGTTGCAAATGTAATGGCCATGTGACGTTACCAATGACGTGTCTTTAAATTAAAAAAAAAATTTTTTTAAATTTGTGTAGCGACATGGATTCTTCCAGAACTTTAAGGCAATGTGAAAGGGTCAGTTTGAAGAAAAGTTTTATCAATATTTTGACATTATATATGTATTTTTTCAAAATTATAAAAAACAAAAATAATAAAAAATATATATAGGCGAGAAAATAAATGAATAACCCATTCACTGCCAGGAAAATGTCGAGGCAGTCTTGGTACAAACGCTTACTACGAGATATCTCGTAGTTGGCAGTGAATAGGTTAAAACGCTTAAATAACGAATCGACAATAATTTGAGATGCCGTCAGGCCGAGCTTTTAGGACAGACAACTCCCCGTAAGAAGGTACGTAGGTGACTGCTCGTCACCTTCGAGGAATCCAAGTGAATCGAACGTGCGTCGATCGGGCCCGCGGGGTGGGCCCCGCAAAAAAGAATTCCCCGGCATATAGTCCTGCCTCTTTAGCAGCCCCCAATGTTGACATACGAGTCCAAGGGCGAGCTAACGGTTGGAGAACGATTAATAAAGATGCGCGGGCACGCGTGTCACCGGATATAAAGGCCCACACGACTCATCGGCTCGTCCGTGTAACGCCGCCTAGCCGACCGCGGGGGCCGCCATGTCTACCTGCGCGCGCACTCGCGCATGCGCGCCGTCGTCCTCCGATGTACAGCACGCGCGTCTGCGCAAGAAGGTAACCCTGGCACACGCGCACGGGCTGCGTACGTGTACGGACGGACGGAGTAACGGACGGGCGGACGAACGGATGGACGGATCGACATACAGCACGCGCATGAATATGTAGGATGTCTGGAAATAAAAAAAGAAGAGAAAAGTGGGGGCGGCAACGCTCGATGTGCATAGTAATCGCCGGCCGCGTCATGCCAATAACATCGAGCCGATCGCCTAATGTTCGGTCCCTAGGTTCCGAGTTTCCCTGCCGATAACGGGGGCGGGTTGCTTCGGGCCGGCGAGGCGAAAGGACGGAGGGAGGCATGCTGCAGGAATTATGAAAAATTACAAAAGCAAAGCTGCGAATCGCTTGGGGTGGCTATAGGGTTCTTTGTGTCGTACCTCGTGATTATCTTCGGAAAAAAATATTATATGAAATTTATCTCCGGGAAAAATATTATATGAAATTTATCTTCGGGAAAAATATTATATGAAATTTATCTTCGGAAAAAATATTATATGAAATTTATCTTCGGAAAAAATATTATATGAAATTTATCTTTGGAAAAAATATATTATATGAAATGGAACCATCAGAGGGATGCTTGTATATTTATTAATTGAGGGTTGCTCTGTGCATAAGGTGATGCGAAGGAATTAGGAAAAATTCCGATAGCAAAGTTGCGAATCGCTTGGGGTAGCTATGGGGTTCTTAGTGTCGTACCTCGTGATTATCTTCGGAAAAAATATTATATAAAAAAGAAGGATCAAAGAGATGCTTGTATATCTATTAATTGGAAGTTGCTCCGTACATTAAGGTGGGGTGAATGTGGCGTCAAAGAGATCTGATTTATGAAACTTTTCTCCGAACCGGGGATACCGAATCGTTTCAAACTTTACAGGGTGGATGTGGAGACTGTAGCCTGACAACCATGGAATTACAATTATTTAACATTTGGTTTGTAGATATTTTTAAGTTTTTTTATAAATGTACATGTATACCCAGTTTGGAGAAAATTTTTGTAAATCCTCAGATGTCAATTTCACATCGCCTTAACGACGAGCAAGTTGACGGATGTTTGATAGATCGGAAAGGTAGAGATCGCGTCAATGCCATGAACTCCGTGGAAAACAATTATCATGGAGCAGATATGAAATGAATTCAATGGGTAGATCATTATTTGTCATATTGTTTATGCACGGGAGTACTACTCAATTAGGATGTTCAAAAGAGAAGTGGAAAATGGCGGTGGTAACACTTGACCTGCATACTAATTGAAGGCCGCATCATGCCAATAATATCCAGCTCATTACTTGGATGTCCGATCGATGAGTTTCGACTTTTCCAACCGATAAGGAAACAGTGAATAATTATGGAATTGGCAGAACCTTTTACCGAATAAAGAACTGAATAATGTAAAGAATGGAAAAACTTGAATCCTAGGAGATTAATTTCAAATGTATTCGTAATTTTTTACTGACAATAATGTACCAGTTCGACAGGTGTTCGGAAAACAAATAAATATATCAGACATTACGCCCTCTATACTTATTTAATAATCCGTAATAGAAAATTAAATGTTCAGTATTCAATTAACAGATTCTACACTTTTCCTCGGAAATGGGAAGAAGACAATTGTCTAGAGTAAAAGACACGGTCATTTAATTAAGACGTTATACTCGTTTGTTTATTCGGTAATTGCAGGGTAAATAGGTAAATGCAAGGTTTGCTTTTTTCCTCGTTGCCAGTGTAATCATTGTCTGAGACTAATTCCGAACTTTTTAAACAACCTCCGAGATAAATTAATTCGTAATTAACTATCTGCGATTGTACTTAACACACATCGTACAACAAGTGTTGCTAAATCCTGACTGATTCTAGATACATCCTAATTGGCCGTGCATACATTGTGTCATTCATAAGGGAGGAGTAAGTGTTCATCAAAGTGTGACGCCCCTTACTCAAAGTATGCATTTACTATAAAAAAAGAACGTGTCAGGGGAGGAGGCGTTAAAAAAGACCACTATACCGCAATTTGCCTCCTCATTAATGTCATTAAGCATAAAAGGCCTGAACAGTTTTTCTTCATTTCCTCTTAACAAATTCTGATTTTCAAATTCATTCCAATTGAACTCGCGTGAAGTATTAATTACTCCTCACTTCGAACCGGATCTTTTTAAACAATCTGCCCCAAGTTTGTTGAAAAGCTCATCTACTGATCGTAACTCATTCTTATGTACCTAACCCTAAAGATCTCAGATCTGTAACGCGATTGGAAAATCTTCAACGCCTCCTTTCTACTCATCACGGAGAGTACACATCTCCGGTCAATTAAGGCGATACGCAATTAAGCTAACGCGACATAACGATAGTGTGAGAAAAATTTTCCAACTTTCTCATTCCCAGGGTTCTTTGCGACATCCTTTCGCGTTCCAACGCGCCATTCATTTTAATGTAAAAATGAACGGTGCACGTAAAATATTTCGAATTTCTAGGAGGTCGCAGTGCTAAGGCGAATAAATACGAAAATGTCGACACGATCGATAGGAAATCGAGAAGACTATTTCAAAAAGCATGGTCCTAGATTCCAATTGAAGGGGCATTCTGTAAAATCAGTCTAACGGGGATTCTCCTCTTTAAGGACTCTTTACCTACAAAAATTGCCAGTAAATCCCTGACAGTTCCTCTTTCACCTTAAAACGCGTCACGTCAAAGTCTCCATAAACTTAACAAAATTAAACACTTGCAAATCCCGTCACCCTGTCAAGGACTACCCAAGATAATATTTGCAAAGATTCGCTCGGAAACCTGTCTTACCCACTTAGCAATAAACGTCGCATTTCTGATTCAGAGACTCAGAAAAACGAGCCTTACCGCAAGATGGATAATCATGATTCGACATCGCTCCCTTCATTTCTTCCTTACTAACCGTGGATGATATAAGGACTTTTAAGAAAGCCCTCTATCAATAATCCACCCTTCCATAATTCGGTAATAACCTATGATACTCTTTCCATCAATGTATGATACTTCGTTCGCCGATAATGGACGAACTTAATGGTGAATTACTGAAATATATGTGTCATACATTGCATATCACGTATCGATAAAATTACCCAGCTTGTCTTATTAGCTCTTAGGTTAAAAGGATCATCACCAGGGGTACAAATTCGCGCAAGGATCGGTATAAAAATGTGCTTCTCTCTTACCGAGCATCTTGCTGAGATCGGCATTGTGGAGATCGGGATTCTCGTCGGCCAATTTCTTGCGCTCGACCTTCGCCCAGACCATGAAGGCGTTCATTGGCCGACGTATCCTTTGCTCCTTGAGGCTCCTCTGGGCGGAACTCCCAGGATGGCACATCTTCACCCCCGAGGGAATCGCTGTTATGCCTTGCTGATAGTCCAGGGGTGGTCCAGAAGCCAACCACGACATGTCTTCCAGACGTTGCTGCGCCGGCCCACTCAGCATCCCTGGGATCTGGAAATAGAAGATCGTTTCTTTCAATTTGTACATCACCATTAAACCATTAAAACAATTTACAAATCTAAGAAAAAAAAAAAACATATTTAAACATTTTCCCATGTATCTTCCTGCATATAAAAATGTACCGTGACATGATAACTTGAATTAAAATAAATTACAAGAATTTATCATGACGCGAGAATGCGAAGTCTCTCTCCCAATCGAAAATGTTTCTCGCGTGTAAGACTTGTACACGTGTATGAGGATTTAGAGGATAGTACGAGAATTAATACTCGGCATGCCTGGTGAGATGTAATAGATCCTATTGCTACAATATAAAATTGAAACCATGTTACAATTTTTCTTGCGCGCCAAGGATTACGCTTAGGAAGATGTTGACGGAATCCGTCGCTGTTAAAATTCAAATTTATACTTAAATTAGTTTTTGTACGGTTAAGGTCCAAACGTGCATTAGATTGAGACTTGATTAAGCCTGAAAATCTGAATTTTCAAAAATTCAATCGAACCTAGATTGATCCTCAAAGTCCTTTCCCTTACCTCTGACCGTAGAAATAGATCTTAATATACATTATTAGCATAAATTGTAATATCAAATGTTACTTATCTAAAATTTCGCTCCTTATAAACGCAACGATGTAATGCATTCATATTTCTAATATTTCCATAAGTTTCACTCTACTTTATAACTAGTAGTTAAAATATTTCTAAATTCTAAAGCCTCATTTATGAGGTATGTAAAATGTATGTAAAATGTATGTTTTATCCGTGTAGGGAGAAAAGTGATTTTTCGTCAACTAATTAAAATGAGGCTAAGATTTCTGTCAACAAAGTAAACGATTAAATGAATACAGGATATGCAGGTTCACCTGAGATCGATAATTTCGACCGTATTCGACCAAGTAAACGACGAAATTCCTTTAAACTCGAATATATTTATCAAATATACATTCCTATTTTTTTCCTTATTTTCTGAAACCAGATCATTTAATGCTAGACATCATTACACTATTTTCAGTAAATACAGTGTGCTGTAAACTGGTGGAAGATCTGCGGTATGTGACTGCAGGCTTGTGACTCGAGGGGAAGGTGTGTACGTAAGATGGCGAGGAACGATAGACACAGGGAGGTAACTTCGAATGGATTTACCGGGCCTAGCATTAGAAGTAATAGCAGTGATGATGGCATAATGCGAGAAGAGTGATTGAGAATCGATTTTCCAAAGATGACAGCCGTCCCGAACGTATGGATTTTCTCCGTCGTCCTTCATGTTTCCGTATCTGCGTCGGATCGTTCAACGGCACAAAGATACGTGAAATATTGAACCTCAGGTGTATTCAATTACACCGCCTCCATCCAGTAGAACTGATCTTACCGCGAAAATGAATATCGAATTTACGGCACACGGTAAAATGATGCCGAGAAACAAATGTTTACATACGCTTATCGTTTCCTAGAGAGCTTACGTTTCCGATTTCACCATAAATGCGTTAATATTTGTACCACACAGTAATCAGTTATTAACTATGTAATTATTGTCTTACCACGGGAACTCCTGAGTTCGAAAAACTGAAACGCATTGTGCATTAATTTCATATCAATGAATTACCGTATTCGAATGAACCTTACATTGTTAAATGGTACCGACAAGGTTAGATTATTGTTCAAGTACTCATTGATGACGCCGTACATTCTTTTTTTTTTACGTTAAATCCGATACTGAAATTTTTTACACGCGATGTTATTTGAAATGTTATTCCCATCGTCTCGGGTTTCCTTCAATGCGTTTTACTATAATTCGGTGTAACTCGAGGAAAGCATGTACGAAGGAAATTTACTCGAGAGGCATACATTCAAAATTCGACATGGCAGGGATTTCAGAAGGTCGTTCAACGAAACGTAATCTCCATGAATTAAAGCTTTCCTCCCATTCGCAGGGATACTTTTTAACAGCTTCTAAATGATCGATCCTCGACTCGGCGAAGCATGGTCGTCTTCGGAGGTTTTATCACTTACCGGTATGATTTGAGCGTCGACGGGCATCGAGCTCTCGTTGGCATCGATGTTGGAATCGATGTCATAACTTCTCGACGTGGGTGTGGCGTATAACGAAGAATGAAGTGCCAAAAGTCCGGGAGAACCGCCATAGCTGCTCACCGGAGGCGGTGGTGTCATCTCACCCCTGTCATAATTATCCAGCATCCTGGAAAACCAAAAAAGATTACGCATAAATTAGTAACTAATTACATACGACGCGTTTTACTGAACATGGACGTCAAGTATTTTTACTCATTATTGCTCAAAATGCAAGGAATTAATTTTTAAATCTGAAAACTCGACAGAGTTTCGCACCAAGTATTTATGTCTGAGTTACAAAAAAAAAAACTTATGAACCCATGTTTGGTATAATTAAAGTATTAATATATTATGAAATAATGCGATTTAACTACTTTTACTCATTATCGATTGATGTGTGCCAAGAATAAATTTTGAAATAAATTTCTTGGATTTTAATCAACGATAAACAAAAATTCTTGAATCGCATAATTTCATAAGACGTCCCCCCCATTCCCTCGATATTTTATTTCTCATGTATACATTGCTATATAAATGTTACTTCCTTAAGAATTTAATCATTCTTCGTGATCATCGTGATAATAATATGCTCTTTCATTTTTTTGCGACAATTCCTACGAAAATGTCGTTTCGCTAAGGGCTGAAGTCCTGTCAAATGGAACATCAACAGGGAATTAGATGCAACTCAAGTTACGGGAAGAAAACTCGATACTTAAGTACACTTAAGTTCTGGTCGCGAAATCCATTAAAAACGTCGGTGAGGTTCTTTTTGTCCGCAACCCTTTGAAACTCACTGCAGTACGTCAAGGAAACAATTAATATTCGATTACAATTATTTCACAGCGGGTCGTATATCTTACTGTCGTCGCGGGATCGATTGTCCATAAGCAAGGAACGATCACTCGAACGAAGGGTGGTTAAAATCGATTTGTAATACAACCACGAGAAGTAATTGGGGATCGATCGTACCAGAGCAATGAGCGATCTTTCTTTTCATTTCTCCAGCTCGACCGATTGATCTGTCAACCTCATTTTAGCGATCGACCACCGCAAACTATTTAAAACTATTTACAAAATTAATTTACGATCAGGGATAATCCGGCGAAAAATTCTCACTTACTCTTAAGTACGTCTTACTCCCACGTGATCGATTATCGACGATCGAAAATCGATCGCTCTAACTCACTGGTGCACAGCACGATAATCTGTTAGTCTGTTCTACCGTAATTACTCAACTTAACATGAATTAATAATTTTTAAGTGCCACCCACTGGAATACTACTACATGTAATTTTTTCAAACTTGTTCAGCGCATTAGGATTAATTTTTCTTACTGTTATTTGACAAAAATCCAAGATTGAGTTACGGACAATAAAAAGAGATCCTTCTCTCTCAGAGTTCATCGATCAGACAACCGATTAATTGATTAACCCAATTACGAATTGAGATCAGCTATGACTTCATTCGATCACTATCGAAATTGAATTAAGATTACAATTACGCATTATGTGCATATGCTCGAAGTAATTGAGGATTAAATCGAAAAAAAAGTGAAGGAAAAAAATCATTTGTATTTTAAATTATTTTTTTGTAATTGATCTACTGACTAGGTAATCTGTCAACCTCTAACAAAAAATTACATCCTAACTCATTTATCGGATTAGCATTATATTAATATGAAATAAACCGAGGATACACACTTTTTGCATTGATGTTGTGATCGGTGGGTTATCAAAATCAATTAATCAATCACTTACAGGGAACCGATGATCGTATCCCGAAGAGAGCAAAGGACGATCTTTCTTCTTCAGCTCTTTCACGTATCATCGATTGATTGATCAATCAACCCCGTTAGAAAAGGCGCTATTGGCACTAATTCACTTTCTCCATGAATAAACATGGCTTTAACATGAAATATTTCAACGGACTAAGTGCTGCGTACTTATCGTAGGATTAATCATTGGCAATGAGCGATTATTCAACCACCGGGTGGCGGGACGTAATCGCACTACACTTATGAGGAGATAATTAAGGATCGGATCTTGAAGAGCAAAGGTAGATCCTTTTCCCTCTATGGCTTCGCGCACGATCGATTGATCGATCTATCAACCCCATTACAAGAGGTGCTATCGCCATAGATTCACTTTCTCAGGGCAAACACCACATTAACAAGAAATAATTCAAGGGATCGATGTTGCGCCCTGATCGCAGGATCGATCATCGCAAGGAACCGATCACGCGATCGGTGGGTGGTTAGGAACGATCGACATCGTAGAGCTCGGTAGAATTCCGCACCAAGTATATATATGTACACGTAAAGATGTACAAGATAATTAAGGATTAGGCTCTGAAGAGCAAAGTGAGATTCCTTTCTTTGCATTTCTTCCCGAATTAATCGATCTTTCAACCTCATTAGAAGAGGTGTCATCGCCATCGATTTACTTTCTCCCTACAAACCCTCCGTTATCGAGAAATAATTCACGGAACAAAGGGTCCTAATCGCGAGATCACCCCCAAACGCGAAATCGATCATACAACTATAACAATTGCCACTCTAATGACGCGAATTACTGTAAGATCCTCTCCTAGTGAACTTTACAATACGTCTCTCTTTTTCTTCACGCACGATTGACCTATCAACCCCATAAGAATAGGTGGCATCGATTCACTTTCTCCTACCAAACCCTCCGTTATCAAGAAATAATTCACGGAACAAAGGGTCCTAATCGCGAGATCACCCCCAAACGCGAAATCGATCATACAACTATAACAATTGCCACTCTAATGACGCGAATTACTGTAAGATCCTCTCCTAGTGAACTTTGCAATACGTCTCTCTTTTTCTTCACGCACGATCGACCTATCAACCCCATAAGAACAGGTGCCATCGATTCATTTTCTCCTACCAAACCCTCCGTTATCAAGAATTAATTAACGGAACAAAGGGTCCTAATCGCGAGATCACCCCCAAATGCGAAATCGATCATGCAACTATAACAATTGCCACTCTAATGACGCGAATTACTGTAAGATCCTCTCCTAGTGAACTTTACAATACGTCTCTCTTTTTCTTCACGCACGATCGACCTATCAACCCCATAAGAATAGGTGGCATCGATTCACTTTCTCCTACCAAACACCGCATTAAGAGGAAATAATTCGAGGGTTCCGACCCTGGGCTCGATCGCAGGATCGATCATCGCCAAGAGCGAGGAACCGATCACGCGATCGGCATTACAGTTACAGGTAATCGAAGATCGGATCCTGGCGAGCAGTGGGAGATATCCTTCTCTCTCTCGGATCGTTCGTGTACGGCCGATTGATCTGTCAACCCCGTTAGGAGAGGAGTTGATCGACATGAATGAACCATTCAAGGCCACTTAATGGAATTCCCACGATTGTCCTTAAGGCATAATGTGACCGTGCTGGTATAATAGTACGAACAGCTGTCTCTCGTGCTCGGCTACGTAGCACGGCCGTGTGCACGTACGTGCAAGGCCTCGACCGTGTGGGCTCTACACGGCTCCGTGGAGGTGCGCGCACGTGTGAGCTCCTATATTTATATATGTACACCCGAGTGTTCCATATAATGGCCATTGTTTCGTTCTGTGCGCGAGATGCTGATGGGGGCAAAAACGTTGCGGCATTTTCATTCAATAAAGCTGCCGGGTAGAGAAGAGACCTTCTTGCTTGCTGCCGCGATCCCTCGATACCTCGCACGCGAACGCTTCAAGGGTGACACGGTGGATATGCCGTGTGTGTGTCACGCGTGGATGTGGAATCGGGTGCTGGGTGAGGTTCTCGGATCGAGGTTCGGAGACGTTGGGATGTGGAATCCAGAATCACTGTACAGGGTTAGGTATGGGGACTTACAGAAAAAAAGAGTCGCAAGGTTGGACGTAGTACATGTATCACATGTTCACACGAAGTGTTGGATGAGATTTGGTGAACTGAGGTTGAAGAACATTGGGATGTCGATTGTGGTGATTAAGGAAAATACCGTACAATAATATGTTACATTGATTTAAAATGGTTTTTCTTTCAAGGAAATTATTTCCTTGAATGGAGTTAAAGAAACTGTAGCGTAAATTAATATCACATGTTCACACGAAGTGTTGGATGAGATTTGGTGAACTGAGGTTGAAGAACATTGGGATGTCGATTGTGGTGATTAAGATAAATACCGTACAATAATATGTTACATTGAAATAAAATGGTTTTTCCTTCAAGGAAATTATTTTCTTGAATGGAGTTAAAGAAACTGTAGCATAAAATTAATATCACATGTTCACACGAAATGTTGGATGAGATTTGGTGAACTGAGGTTGAAGAACATTGGGATGTCGATTGTGGTGATTAAGATAAATACCGTACAATAATATGTTCCATTGAAATAAAATGGTTTTTCCTTCAACGAAATTATTTTCTTGAATGCAGTTAAAGAAACTGTAGCATAAAATTTAAGAAATAGTCTTCGCTTAAAAAATGCCGAATGCTTACCTATGATACATTGCATTGGTCGAATACTTTATATCTCTCCGTTGAAAGAAACGAAATATATTTTCATACCTAAGAAACTTTCGATAGATCAAATAAAATGTTCCAAGTTACTCGTTGCAATTGAACACATTACGGTTTTAAAGAAATTCGAGTACTGTCATTTTTTAAATGAAAAACGGATATTTCTTTCGGGGTGATTACATGTTTTTTTTTCCTACTAAAACCCTGTTATTTGACCCAACGGAAGATTATTCAAAAAAATATTTTTCTCATTGTAGGACTACAGGGAAGGTAACATATCTAGATTTAAATGGGTCTATGTGTTAGTTGCGTGTGTGAAATAAAGTGTTGGGTGGAGTTTTTAAATTAAGATTAAGTGACATAGGATGTGGAATATAGTAGTTACTAAAAGTGTAGTGTACGTGTTCTGGGTGAAGATTTCTCGAAGGATAATAGGTGGACGAAATTACCTCAATGCATAATATACATGCATGTGCGGGTGGAATAAAGTGTTAGGTAAGGTTTCTGGGTTGAAGTTGAAAGATCCAAATACATGGAATACTTTGGTTACCAATAATACTGTATGAAGCTAAAGATATATAGTAAGAAGAGAAGAATAATGTTGAC